TTCTAACAATTCCAATTGAGTGTGTTAGTGTGGCCAGCTCAGGGCAATATGATATTATAAACACAGCTCATATCACGTCTCTGCTGTTTATAATTTCATAGCAAAGAAAACACGCCTTTCATGACAGTAGAACCAAGTAACAGCTCGCAATAGCCACAGGAACTTTGCTGCAAGACAGGCATATGTAACAACGACTTAGCGCTCTTAAACTCGTGTGTAATTAAATACAGTTCTCCTGACAACAGGCCAGCGAAAAATCTAACAATCTACAGCAAAACCATCAATTATTATGGGCGTTATAACATAGGTGTGCAGCTGGACGAAACATACACGTCGAACCCCCCCAGACGATTTAAATACCTGACGAAACATACACGTCAAACCACGCTGAACGGTTAATATACCTGTGTCACAAACTTTTAGAGCTTATTAAGGAACATTAATGGGAGATCCACTGTATACAGCAGAGGAATGCTGGATGGCAGAGGAAAAGATGGAGTCATGAATGAGGCTGGAACAGGCTAACACGTAGTCCTCAGAGTGAAGAAGATTCCTGTTAATGGTATGGCTGAGTGACTGGAGAGGAATATAGTAAAGGGGGACGCATACCAACTCAAAGGAGATGCAAAGGAGGGTTGATAAACAGCTTCAGTTTAAAAGACTGTGAGGAACTCCAGAATGGCTGAAGAATGCCATCTTAACAGGGGAAGATGAATGTTTACTTTGTACCACTGATTCCAAATCTAATGAAACTGCCTTGCAGTAAAACCATCAGTACTCACCTTATCATCCACATTGAAGTATGGCTTCACGTGCTTGACGTAGAAATCGAGAGGTGTTATCTGTCCAGTGGATTTGAATTCTTTTGCCTTATTATAATACTCCCACGTAAATGTGTCTGGAGGAATCCCAAGACAGATTCCAATGATGCGGTATATATTTGACATCTGCTGCTGAATGTGTGAACTAATTTCTTCCTCACTAGCTCCTTCTGCAACCAGACTGCGTAGCTCCTTGGTGTATTCACGAAGCTGCAACACCGATGAGCTTATCGTCATATGGCGTCTGTTTTAAGACATAAGGCAGCATGGTTTCAGTAACAGGTACCAATGTTTCTAATGAACCTGCTGCCTCCAACTCCTAGCCTGAGTATGGAAATAGTTCCTGCAAAATATTGGTACCTATATGTCAGACTACATGGCACCATATTGCGGGAGGCGATATTCACGGCCACCAGTCAGAACTTCAAATATCAATACATGAAGTGTTCTCACTGCAGCAGAGGGAACCAATTATTGTGTACAAGGATGAACTTCATATGAGGACATTTTCTGACCAGAAAATTAAATTCTGTCATTAAAAAAAAAGTATCCTCTTTAGAGTTAAAATACCACCACAAAATATGTGTAGTGTGAACATCTACATTGTTAATACAAAATGTTATGTATGGTTTTTTATACTGTCAGTAGTATACAGCATGGCATGATTGGTGAATAATGGATTAAAAAGGATGTTTAAAGAAGTTGTCACGGTCTCATTTGAGGTACTAATCTAGTGTTTGTGTGGAGGGATTGAGGAAAACCATAAGCAGTACAAGGATATTCAGTTTTGTAGGGGGGGGGGTTCAAATCATGTAACTTCTGAATACAAAACAGTTGTGCCAACTACTATTCTGCAATGTTCAGTTAGAAGAATGCTTTAGAGAGACCAATAAGTAGCAATCATGTGGGCCTTTCACTTCAACTTCAAGTTAGCCACTCTGTTACGACATAACTGGGGAAAACTGGTGCAAAGACATTCTCATACACAATTGACCCTGACTGTGTTACCTTGAAAATGAAACAGAGTGTTGCTTGGTAGACCAATGTTTGTTACTGATTAACAAATAAAAATGAAATCCATCCAGCTGGTAAAGTCAGTTCTGACAAAATCAACATTTCACATTGAACCCCTAGTGCACATACCATTATTTTTCCTGAAGATATCAGTCAAGCATTTTTATTTAGGGAGATCATCTCCATAAATTGCTGAAATGTAACCAAAACTGTTGGAACCATTTTCAAGAAAATTACCATTTTATTTTTTGGGGCTCCTCTGAAGGCTAAAATGTTCATATTCACCAGGCAAACACCTAAGAGGGATGAAATCTTAAATGCTGAATATGAATAAGACCTAACCACTCCTGTATTATCATGGCATACACATAGCCATATGTTCATACAAGGAGACAGCATTTCAGAAACCACTTTTTCATATTCAAGGAGTCTGAAAACATGTAAATCTGTCAAAATCTCAAAAATATTTTTTTCCCGTGATTACAGTACTTTCTTATATACAGGGTGTCCCAGGAGGAATGTGCCAGACTTCGGGAGAGTGTTCCTTATGTTAAAGTATGCCGATATAACCCAAAACACCTATGTCCAAAGTTGAACGGTTACGGAGATAATGGCCAGAGAAGTGTCAAA